TCTCTGCTTTTCTTTGTTTCAGGTGCTGTGGAGACGAACACCGGGCGTTTCAACCCCGCAGGATCAGGATATCGACAGGTAGGTTTAAGCACTATTCTCACACAGTTTGTATATATCAATACTAAATATATTTCTTCCAGGTTAATGATTTACACTTATATGATTCTTTCAGTATAAAAAATATAATAAAACCGAGCGCTTACAACTTGTTACTCGCACTATCTTTTGCAGCGGCTTTACGACACGACTGCCCGTAGCTACTGTTGTAACACGACTGACTCCTGTCATGGCGTCGTCTTCCTCCTCGCCTCGGCGGCGCGAACAACGGCGCGCATGCGCACTGACTATTCCTGCTTTGTAAAAGTGGAGAATAAGGATCGAATTGTATGTGTATGTGTTGGGTTTGTGTATGTGGTATGTGTGATGTACTTTTTACTTCTTATGTCGCGTTTTATTTTATACATGTGCGTTTGGTAAAAATTTTTTATTAAGGGTCGAAATTTCACGTGCGTGTTGTGTGTGTGTCCCCGGTGTGTTATGTCTACGTATTTTTTCTTAATCAATTATTATTTTCTTTTTCAGGTACGACCGTAAAACTGCTGGATAAGGACCGAAATTTTGTGTGTGAATTGTTTACGTCTGTGAGGTGTCAACGGAATGTGTGCGCGTCCTTAATCCCATACTTTGCACTTATACGTGTGCTAAACTTTTTGTTACCCATAACGTGTGAAACCGTTACTGTGTGATGTACGTCCCACAGGTGTGTGTTTGGTGTGTGTATTCTTCCTTATTCTTACCTGTGTGTTCGTGTTTACTGTACCCCTAGAATTATGAATAAACCCTAAAATAGCAGGACTGTATTGTAGGTGTTGCGTGTGTGTTTCACGTGTAGGTCTCAGTCCTTAGTCGTTCGTTGTAATTTTGTCTTCGTCCCGTATCTAAAGTCACGTATAGTCGTTATAACTTAGTGTGTACATTGTGTAAGTCGTTGTCATTCGTGTGTAGTACAAACTACCCACTACTCACGTGTTTGTGTTTTTTCTGTTACAGATATGTGTGTACTGTGTGTGTGTACTTCTCACCTAGACGGTGCGCACGTCCGCCATTACTAGTCGAAAACTACCCCTAACGGTAACTCCACCAGTGTAGGGTAAAATAAAAATTAAATCAAAAACAAACACAAACGAAAACTAAACAAAACAAGATAAAACTAAGCCTCGCAACAACGCCCGCTTTGGTTTTTTGCGCTTTACATGCACTGTTTATCCACTAAATACGTCTTACAAACTAAGCAACTTGTACTTAAAAAGTCTCTAACATTTCAGACGAGTATTCCCCCGGCGTCAGGTCACACTTCTGGCGTCAGGTCACAAGGTTAGGTTTT